GTATTTTTGAAAAGAAAATTTTTTATGAGAATACCATTTCATGCCCGGTATGCCCTTCGAATTTGAATATGCCGTCAACGATGTCGAAACCGCCAACGACTATGCCCACAAGGCCAACAGCGATGGCGATGTGGTGACCGGTGAATATCGCGTCCAACTGCCCGATGGCCGCACCCAAGTGGTACGCTACACCGCCGACTGGAAGACTGGCTATCATGCAGATGTCAGCTATGAAGGTGAACCTCAATATCCTCAGGGACCCAGTAGCAGACCCGGCTATAAATACTGATTCGTGACTCCATAACATGTTTTGTTTTTTCGTTTATTAATTTGAAAAAATGCTGCTGCCGCTGATGTCATTGCTCATTAGTTATCACACAGAAAGGTTTTGAGATAAGATCCCTCCTCCCGTAACCCCCCTTAAAAATAGTAGACACGTACAACTTTTTTTCTCATTGCTAAGATTTAATTTAAATTTACCATCTAACATTTTGTTGATTTGTTGAAATTTATTTTTTCTTTTTTTTATTAATTAATAATAATTATTTTTTTCTCTTGTGTGTAATATGTTAAAAATAAAATATTAAAAATAATAAAAATATCTTTAAAAACAAATAAATAAACAAAACTGATCATGATTTAATCAATTTTAATATTTTTCAGGATTTTGAACAAAAAATATGTGATAAATAAAAAAATAATAAACAAAAAAATGTGGTTGTGTTTAATTTCAAGTATTTCAGCCCAGCTGAATAAGGTTTCTCAATGGAAATCTTCAATTCAGCCTGGCTGAATAAGGTTTCCTATAGGAAATCTGCAATTCAGCCTGGCTGAATAAGGTTTCCTATAGGAAATCTGCAATTCAGCCTGGCTGAATAAGGTTTCCTATAGGAAATCTGCAATTCAGCCTGGCTGAATAAGATTTCCCATAGGAAATCTTCAATTCAGCCTGGCTGAATAAGATTTCCCATAGGAAATCTTCAATTCAGCCTGGCTGAATAAGGTTTCCTATAGCTAAACTTCAATTCAGCCTGGCTGAATAAGGTTTCCTATAGGAAATCTTCAATTCAGCCTGGCTGAATAAGGTTTCCTATAGGAAATCTTCAATTCAGCCTGGCTGAATAAGGTTTCCTATAGAAAATCTTCAATTCAGCCTGGCTGAATAAGGTTTCCTATAGGAAATCTTCAATTCAGCCTGGCTGAATAAGGTTTCCTATAGGAAATCTTCAATTCAGCCTGGCTGAATAAGATTTCCTATGGGAAATCTTCAATTCAGCCTGGCTGAATAAGGTTTCCTACAGGTAAGCTTCAATTCAGCCTGGCTGAATAAGGTTTCCTACAGGTAAGCTTCAATTCAGCCTGGCTGAATAAGGTTTCCTATAGTTAAGCTTCAATTCAGCCTAGCTGAATAAGGTTTTCCATGGGAAATCTTCAGTTAAGCCTGGCTGAATAAGGTTTCCTATAGGTAAGCTTCAATTCAGCCTAGCTGAATAGGTTTTCCCTTGGGAAATCTTCAATTCAGCCTGGCTGAATCCTTACTCCTATGGGTTAAAAATCATAAAAAATATTCTTAAAAATCCACACCATTGAAAATATTTCTAATAAAATCCACAAATCCATAATAGATGACTTAGGAAACTTTAAGAATAGTTTTATTCAAAAATGATTTTCTAGTTTTAATTGGGCGCCATGGAATGTAGTGCAACCGGCCAATGTTATTTGGGCGATACCAAAGCCACAAAAATTTCGTTTTCTCTTTCTTCCATTTATTTTTTTTATTTATTTTATTTTGCCACTACACAGCCTTGGCCTTAAGAAAAACTGTTTTGCCAGTAAGTCAGCCAGCCAGCAGCTGTTCAACCCAACGGTACTTCCTACCATATTATCGAAATGGCCAAGACACTGACCACAAAGAATTCATGTAAATGCTAATGCTGCTACAGCTGCTAATAGTCTTGTTGTTGGTGTGTTTGTAACCAACACTCCAACAACTTGTTGGCCAAAGCAGCCAATTGTTGTTTTTTCAAAAAACAAAAAAAATACAATTGGCTTCTCAGATTATGATTTCCACTATTTATTTGTTTGTTTTTGTCTGAAAGTGTGTGTGAGAGAGAGGGAGGCTGGTCACACACACACACATTTGTATACAAGTTTTCAATTTAGCATACTGTAAAATAAAATACATTCCAAATATTGAATAATATCTTGTTACTTGTTTTCTTTGTTGCAAAATTCAAATTATTTATGTAAATTGTTGTTGTTGTGTCGAACAATCAATAATGTTCGAAGCTGGCTAGGAAGCCGGGTAGATATTGAATTAATTATATCTACATAAAAATAATTGAAATAGCATCTTCTCAATGATTTCTCTTGAATAATTGAAACAATTTGTCGGCATTTAATTTATAGAAAAAACGAACAACAGCAACAACAACCGTTTGCCTCATGACACCTTGGCTGTTGTAATAGGAAATAACACCTGCCAGTTATTTGTGGTATCCATAAATTTATGGTCTGACGAAGAATAACAGCAACAGCTACTGTTAATTAGAAATAAATTACTAGAATGAAGCAATATTCATTTAATATTTAATTATAATAAATTATTCAATTTAAACACAAAAATTTTCAAATAAAAATTGTGAAATTCTTAACGGACTCAAAAATTGGGTTAAGATGTAAATAATCATTCCGACACCACAAAAATTTAAATTTGAACACTCCTTCAACGACTACCAAACAAACATAATTCACCACTACCACTTCAGCCTAAAAGTATGCTTTACAAAAGCCATTGCAACTAACGATTAAAAATAAAATAACACATTGCAGTAAATAAAAATAAGATGGCGACCATTTGATATTCTAGCAAGGACTCAAACCGATAGTCACATAGAATTACAACAGATGTCGCCAAAGCCACGAAAATTCGTCTACAAAATAATCGACGAGCTAATTGAAAAATTAAGGACGAATATAAGGGGGACTATACAGAACCTAACGAGGGAGTTTATAGACGACCAGAAAGAAGTATTTATAGATGAAGTTGTAGTCTTTATAGAGGAGCAGAAGGAAGTCTTTATAGACGAGCTGAAGAGCGAGTCTTTATAGACGAGCTGAAGAGCGAGTCTTTATAGACGAGCTGAAGAGCGAGTCTTTATAGACGAGCTGAAGAGCGAGTCTTTATAGACGAGCTGAAGAGCGAGTCTTTATAGACGAGCTGAAGAGCGAGTCTTTATAGACGAGCTGAAGAGCGAGTCTTTATAGACGAGCTGAAGAGCGAGTCTTTATAGACGAGCTGAAGAGCGAGTCTTTATAGACGAGCTGAAGAGAGAGTCTTTATAGACGAGCTGAAGAGCGAGTCTTTATAGACGAGCTGAACAGGGAGTCTTTATAGGCGAGCTGAACAGGGAGTCTTTATAGGCGAGCTGAACAGGGAGTCTTTATAGGCGAGCTGAACAGGGAGTCTTTATAGGCGAGCTGAACAGGGAGTCTTTATAGGCGAGCTGAACAGGGAGTCTTTATAGGCGAGCTGAACAGGGAGTCTTTTTAGACGAACTGAACAGGGAGTCTTTATAGACGAGCTGAAGATGGATTCTTTATAGACGAACTATATAAACGAGCTGATGGGAGTCTTTTTAGGATCTTTATAGATAAATTATTTGAAAGGTTTAATATTGGGATTCTTTAAAAATCCACGTCTTCTATAATAAAATATATATTTAAAAAATCCACGCCTTAAAAATTATTATAAAAATATAATAAAAAATCCATACCTATTATAACCTTAAAAAATATTTTTTTAAAAAATCCAAACCTGAATTGAAGATTTCCTATGGAAAACCTTATTCAGCCATGCTGAATTGAAGATTTCCTATGGGAAACCTTATTCAGCTTGGCTGAGTTGAAGATTTCCCCTAGGAAACCATATTCAGCCAGGCTGAATTGAAGATATTCAGTCAAGCTGAATTGAAGATTTCCTATGGGAAACCTTATTCAGCCAGGCTGTATTAAAGTTTTCCAATAGGAAACCTTATTCCGCCAGGCTGAATTAAAGATTTCCTATGGGAAACCTTATTCCGCCAGGCTGAATTAAAGATTTCCTATGGGAAACCTTATTCAGCCAGGCTGAATTAAAGATTTCCAATAGGAAACCTTATTCAGCCAGGCTGTATTAAAGTTTTCCAATAGGAAACCTTATTCCGCCAGGCTGAATTGACGATTTCAGCCAGGCTGAATTAAAGATTTCCTATAGAAAACCTTATTCAGCCAGGCTGAATTAAAGATTTCCTATAGGAAACCTTATTCAGCCAGGCTGAATGGAAGATTTCCTATAGGAAACCTTATTCAGCCAGGCTGAATTGAAGATTTCCAATAGAAAACCTTATTCAGCCAAGCTGAATTGAAGATTTCCTATGGAAACCTTATTCAGCCAGGCTGAATTGAAGATTTCCAAAAGGAAACCTTATTCAGACAGGCGAATTTTAAGATTTCCTATGGGAAACCTTATTCAGCCAGGCTGAATTGAAGATTTCCTATGGGAAACCTTATTCAGCCAGGCTGAATTGAAGATTTCCTATGGGAAACCTTATTCAGCCAGGCTGAATTGAAGATTTCCTATGGGAAACCTTATTCAGCCAGGCTGAATTGAAGATTTCCTATGGGAAACCTTATTCAGCCAGGCTGAATTGAAGATTTCCTATGGGAAACCTTATTCAGCCAGGCTGAATTGAAGATTTCCTATGGGAAACCTTATTTGTATGCCTTGAAAAATATTTTTGTCAAAAATTCCACTCCTTGAAAAATATTTTAAAAAATTCGCGATCTCCATAGACCATGAAATCCACGACCTCCATTGACCGTGAAACAACATTCTTCTAAAATCCACACCTTTTATGAGCATGAAGTAAAATATTCTTTAAAATGCACGTCTTCCATATAAATATTTTTTAAAAATCCACACCTTTCATTGACCTCAAAGAAAAATATTTCTTAAAAATCCACTTTTTTAATACCATTGAAAATTTTTTCATAAAAACCCACGACTTTCAAGACCTCGTAAAAAACATTCTTTAAAAATCCACGCCTTCCATAGACTTTGAAGAAATAATCTTTAATCTACGACTTGGACTCTCCGAACTTGCGTTTGTCTAAAAGACTCCCTGAAGTTCTGTTGTAGATCTCTCGAATGGATCCTGGAAATAGTGATGATGTAAAATAAACTCACAATTTCATTTATGGTATTTTTTTAATTTTTTTATTGATTGTTTTTGTTGTTTTTTTTTCTTTTTTTATATCTCGTTACTATTAATATAATATTATTATTTTGTTTTTAATATCTTATCTTTGTATATTTTTTCATTTTTTCTCATGAAAACACTATAAATATAATTTCTATAAAAATTAATTATTATTATTATTATTAACTAAACTAAAGAAAAAAAATATATGGTCAATTTAAAATTGATCAATGATTTTTTTGTTTTGCTGTTGTGTTGCTGATTTTTAAAAACTATTTAAAAAATATTTTCTTGTTTGTTTTGCTTTCTTTTCACAATTAAAATAAAATATTAAAAAATGTTGTTTGATTTTATTGTAGTTGTTGTTTTGCAATAGTAGTAATAATAGTTATGGATAAAAACCAATTCAATGCTAAACTAAATAGATGAAATGAACGAAAGGAAAAGGGGAAACAGAGGATAAAAGTAGTGCAAAAAGCTGCTTTATATATATATTTTCGTTACAAAATGAAGATCAACATAAGGAAACAAAATTGAAGAAGTTGGAAAATAGGAAACGCAAAATAGAAGATTAATTGATGATGAGAATAAAAAAAATTTAAAGGGACTTTTAAAATCTAAATCATCCATCCATCCATCCGTCAGGGGAAAATAAATAATAATTGGCTTTCTGAGAATTGAAAAGCTTCATAGATTTAAATCTATTTTAAAATAGTATGGTATGGAGGATGAGGAGATTTTAATTTTAAAAGTCCTGAGTAATTCGTATAGAATATTCATCAAAATAATAGATTGAATTTTTTTAGCAAAATTATCAAAGAAAATAAAAAAAATATTCTTAAAAATAAGAACAAACAAAATTAAATTAGAATTAATTTATAAAAAAAATAATAATAAAATAATTATAATAAATCTATAAAAGTTTGTTAACAATATTTGCATACATTTCTTGTGATTTTCTTGTTGTTGTTGTTGGTTAATGATATACATTATTATTTTTATTTTTAATTAATAATAAATTTTGTTATTGTTACTTTTTTTGTTGCCATTGTGAAAAAGTAGTGGACGACGATGACGACAGACATATACGAACGAACAAGGGGCGCGGCGAGCAGTAGGAGTTTATAGTGGGGGGCATAATTATAAATGGCGATGAGAGAGGGGGGGATTACAATAGGTGTGTGAGAATATGTCTAGAATTGTTAGATTTGCGATTAAACAAATCAGTGATTGCTATCACCGCCTCCGCCACCATTGCTGGCACCATTTAATCTCACCGATCTTCGTCGTGTCATAATACGCTGAGCCATACCCGAACTTTGTTGTTGTTGATCCATGGCCGATGCATCATTTGCCAGAGGATCACACGCCGCCGATTCTTCATTGGCCATACCATCCATAGCATTGTCCACAATGCTGTTTACCGCCGCCGCCGTCGTCGACGTATTCATGAGCATCTCATTCTCATCAATCGATTGTATTGAAGATCTACGGGTGGGAGGCACAACTCTTAGTTTCGATTTTTTCGGAGGCAATGTGCGCGGTGAAGAGACCATAGAAACAGGTGCCTGCTGCTGCTGTTGTGCCATTGCTTGCATTTGTATACTTTCCATGGGTGCATCACACTCATAGTTACGTTTCCTGGAGGCAACCGTTCGCATTTTAGCTCCAATTGCACCACCACCATTACCCTCATGGATTAGTTCACTCATTGCCGCATCGCATTCATTACCATTGTAATAGGTGGCGGTGGTGGTTGTGGTGTTTTGGCCTGGACGCATAGTTACATTCTCATCAATTGTCTCCAATGGAATTTGTTGCTGTTGTTGTTTGTACATCATCTGTTCGGGGGACATTTGTTGTTGTTGCATTTGTACATCATTACCATAAATATTGCCATTCACAAGTTTTGCTGTACCATCATCATCATCACAAATATCATCAGCAGCGCCGGCGGGTGACATATCTTGTTCATTTTTTATTGCATTAACATCACCGTGTTGTTGTTGTTCCTGATCCTGATTGGTGGTTGTTGAGATGCCGGTTTTTAATTGAAAATTTTCCTTCTCCAATACTTGTATACGATCTCGAGTGGTTTTAAGTTCTTGTTGCAAAAATAGAATTGTACTTTGCATACCCTCAACATCTTCGTCTAGTTCCTGGAGAAAATCGTCAAGTTCTGAAAGAGAGAGCAGAGAAATCATAGATTAAAAATTTTAATAAAAGAAAAGTGTTGTAGATCTTCAGCAGAAAGGAGGAGTTGAAGGGATTTTTTTAAAGAACAAAAAGGATTCTTTATAGTGAATATCAAGGCGAGCGGAATGGGGCCTTTATAGATTATTTTTTATAGAAGATCTGGAGAGTGTTTCTGGACAAGTAAATCCTTGTATACTATCTGGAAAGGAGCCATACTAGATGGGTTTAAGGAATGCTCTATAGAAGAGTCAATAGGAGAATTTTAGAGGAGATAAAGAGAGCCTATATAAACTATTCGAAGGGTGACCCTATTTAGAAGAAACGAAGTTCTGGGAATATTTAAAGACAAGCAGAAGGAATCCTTTCTAGGCGAGCTAAAAGGGATCTCTACAGACGAAGGGAATCTTTATAGACGAGCTGTGAAGGGAGTCTTTATAGACGAGCTGTGAAAGGAGTCTTTATAGACGAGCTGTGAAGGGAGTCTTTATAGACGAGCTGTAAAGGGAGTCTTTATAGACGAGCTGTAAAGGGAGTCTTTATAGACGAGCTGAAGGGAGTCTTTGTAGACGAACTGAAGGGAGTCCTTGTAGTCTAGCTGAGGGGAGCCTTTATAGACGATCTGAAGGGAATATTTGCAGTCTAGCTGAAGGGAGTCTTAGGACGACCTTAAGGGAGTCTTTATATACGTGAAAGGAGTCTTTATAGGCGAGCTGATGAGAGTCTTTATAGACGAGCTGAAGGGAGTCTTTAGGGACGAGCTGAAGGGGATCTTTATGGACGAGCTATGAAGGGAGCCTTTATAGACGAGCTGAAGGGAGTCTTTATAGACGAGCTGAAGGGAGTCTTTTCTGAAGGGAGTCTTTTCTGGACGAGCTGAAGGGAGTCTTTTCTGGACGAACTGAAGGGAGTCTTTATAGACGAACTAAAGGGAGTCTTTATAGACGAGCTGATAGTTTATTTAGAAAGTCTTTTAAGAAAGTCTTTTTTAAGCGTCTCTAAATGAACCTATGTAAGGCTCTATATACGACACGAAGGGAGTCTCTGTAGATGGAGACGAGCTCGAGGGAATTTTTATATACAAACTGAAGCTAGAGTCCATAGACAACCTTTGGCATCCGATGTCCATGTGAACAACTTTATGGATATCAAGAGGCCGGTTCAAATGGGCAAAATATTACTTCTAAAATGAGATGAAGTTTTTGTCCCCCTACATACCTGATTGTGATTTTTTCACCTCTTCGCTGAAACTTTTCTGCATCGATAATTCCGTTTCCAATTTGGCCAAACGGCCATTGGATGTCATTTTGCCAAGTTCCTCATTCTCTTGATACAGTAGGCGACATTTGGCCATTAAACGTTTGCCGGTATTTGAATCGGGCGTGAATTTCCAAGCCGACAATTCATTTTGAGTTTCTTCCAATTTGGCCTTGGTGGCTTTCAATTCTTTCTTTAACTTTTGGAAAAGTAAATTAACAGCTGGATCCAATAAGGCCGATCTCAAGGCAACGGCTGAGGGGGCCTGAGCGGCCTTGTATTCAGCTATTTGGCTCTGAAAACAAAAAAGAAAAACAAATTAAAAATTGTTCGTCGTGGTATTTGGAATACAAACACTTACCACATAATCCTGAAACTCTTGCTCTTTATTGGCCAAACGACGCATAAGTATCTTTTCACGTCTTTGGGCATCGGTGCATTGCATTGTGAGACGTTGTTGTTCCAATTTAAGATTTTCAATTTCATCTGGATATTTGAATAGTAGTTGTTGTTTCGTTTTTTGTGTTTTTGTTGTTTACAAGCATTATAAAATAAAACAGAAAAACAAATATTAGATAAAAATTGCCATAGTTAGGAGATAATAAAACAAACAGCTTATGGACGTACATAATACAACTATATATATATATATACACAGTGATTTTTTATAAACACAAAAAAGCATTACAGATATCATAAATAATAATAATAACAATACTTTATCTCAGAGTTTCTTTCTTCATCTCTCTCTGTGTGCAAATTGTTGAGAGGAGAAAAAACGTTATACATATAAATACAACAAACAAATAAAATATAAATGAATAATAAACATACTAATGTAATATTTTCTTTTATCTATGCTAGACAGATTTTTGCAGAGTACTCTATATTTTTGTTATGTTTATTATTATTTAATTTATTGTTTTGTATTTTTTGATTTTCATTTTTCAAGAGTTTTTTTTATTAATTTTTGTGTGGGTTAAAAAACAAAATACGAAATCATACCAATACTATGCATTCATTCGCATTCGTGTTGTTGGTCTTGTTGTTGCAGTTGTTAATTCGTGTCATTTTGTGCGATTTCTACAAAACGTCTTTCTTTGGTTGCGACGAAAACGAAGACGCTCGTTCTGTTGAAATTAGTCTCCAAAAATGTTATATATTTTTGAAAACTTTATTATTTTAATTTTTTATTGAAACACTTTTTTTTTTACTTTTTCAAACTCTGCCGAAAATATTCACATTTGCATTTTTATAGATTTTTGGAATATTTTATTTCAAAAACTCTTTGGTAACACTTTCTTTAGATGATTCAATATAGAGAGAAAAGAAGATTTATATTTATTATTTCATATTCAAATCATCGTATACCACTTTGTGTTGCCTTTAAGGCCATGATTTTTTGAAATATTATGAACAGACACTTCTTATTGACTTTTACAGAACTTTATACAATGGAATGATATTTACAATTTCTTTATTATATGTATTCACACTTTTTTGTCGTAGTAATTATTGGATGATATTTACGATCCCGAATATAACAAATTCTTCTTGAGTTAGGAAAGGCAATTTAGTTTCTTAGCTCACTTTTCATTATATTAGACGTATGAGTGCAATTTACTTTCTATAAGAACTTCCCGTAGATCATTTACAAAATATATTTCGGTTTGTCTATAAATAGTTCGTCTATAAAGACTCCTTCCTACTCGTCTATAAAGACTCCCTCCAGCTCGTCTATAAAGACTCCCTTCAACTCGTCTATAAAGACTCCTTTCAGCCCGTCTATAAGAAAAATCCTAGTTCACCTATAAATAATCCTCCAGCTCGTCTACAAATACTACCTTCAGTCGTCGCCCAATATACATTGTTCAGCTCGTCTATAAAGACTCTCTTCAGCTCCTCTATAAAGGCTCCCTTCAGCTCGTATATAAAGACTCCTTTCAGCTCGTCTATAAAGACTCCCTTCAGCTCGTCTATAAAGACTTCTTTCAGCTCGCCTATAATATCTCCCTTTAGCTCGTCTATAAAGGCTCCCTTCGGCCGTCTATAAGATAAATCCTAGTTCAACTATAAATAATCCTCCAGCTCGTCGCCCTATATATATTCTGTGGAATTGATTTTCACTATGATAAAAAATATTTTAAATTTTACTGTAGAAACTTCATCTAAATTGTTACTAAAGAAACCCCAATTGGGTAGGGTTGCATTCAAATACTAGTAGGCTGAATTCAAATTTTTATATAAAGATACTTATTCAGCTAGATCGAATTCATGATTCCTATACAAAACTCAATTTAAATTTTCACATGGACAGCTCAATATCGAGGGACTTATAAATGTATTCCTGGAGAAGACTCTATTCGGCTATGCTTTTTGAATACAAAACTAAAGTGAACTTGGTATATACAGTCGAAATCGAAATTGTTAATATTATCTAAGGTAAATTTGCTTTTCCTAAAGGCATTCTGATTTGTTGAGAATATTTTATGGGACAGACTGATGTACTTAAGACGGACTTCTTTGTTTTGATTGTCATTGATAAGAAAGTACAGGAAACTTGGGTTTTAAGAGGGGGCAGGTTCTGTGCATCCAATACAGAATCGGCCTTGGTCACATAAATATTGATGGAGAGTTTTGCATTGGGAGATCTTGCTTTTCTATGTAGATAGTGGCTATGTTATTTTCAATAGGTTCAATATGATCAATTGCTATATGGGTTCTAAACAAATTTAAGTAAATTTATCTTCTTAAAATGCATTGGATTTTCGATGTATACATCGATGATAAAAACGAGGGATATCATAATCTATAGATGAAATACTTCCAAATATAGGTGGCAGATAACTAGAAATTTTGTAGACTCTAGTTTTTAAATTTTTACTTCTATTTGTTTAACTGCATTAGTATTTAGATGTAGACCTCAATATTTTCAGCGCTTCTAATTTTTTAGTAAATTTTATTTTTAATGGTGCTATTTCGAGAAGAAGACTGTTCTTCTTTGCTTTTTTTTTTCTTCGAATTATTACATACCAAGCGACATCATTCTTGAACATATCAGACGATATAACTAGAAATATTAGAAATATTTAATGCATTTTACTATGATCTGCTTCTAGCTGTATTTAAAATGTACCTGTTTAATAAATCCTTTATAAAAACGTCTACATTAAGGCTGATAGAATGGCCATAGATATTATTTATATAATCTGCATCAACCCGTGTTCCTCAGCTATTATTTCTGAGATCTGAAGCTGATATCTAGTTGTGAGTCAGAAAGACCTCTAATATCCCCACAAAAAAAAAAAAACACTCGAAACGTTTGAATTTTTAAAAATTGTAGAATCGAATTAAATGGTCTTTCTAATCTAAGCATTAATTCTATAAGATGGTCATGATAAAATCCAACACTATACTGGAACCACTAATAAAAATCTACAAGTATAAAATGGATTTTAATGTGAAAAACAATTATCGATATTAATAAAAACCTTTTTAACATGTCCTATATACTTTACTCATGGCAATTTCCTTATTTATTTTAGTTTTTTAAATAGGAATTTTAATCATTCTTTTTTTATACTTCTATTAATTTATATCGAATGCCTGAAACAGCCCAAGAAGTCGGAATCATAAAACATTTAAGGTAGAGTACAAATCGCTTAAAAGGGGGCGGCCAAGAGATCGCCGAAATTGGTCTCTATAAGAGATAATCATTTGCCCTTTTCGATACAAATCAGCATTAAGTGAACGTAGTAAACGTTGTTTAGCTAGCCAAAATCCTTCTACATTTAGAAGTGTCTTTAAATTGCCTCCATGTGTATCTCCTCTATTAGGTATCTCCGAAGCCGGGCAACAAGTAATGCATAACTAATGGACAAATCTCACTAAATGTTTTGATCTTGCTGCCTTTTTCTTCCTTTCATTTATTAGATCGAATTCCAAACTTTAATTGAAATTTTCAGATGATATAGTTTAGCTCTACAAGTATAAAAATTAATTTAAGAAAACATAACTATATAATTTAAAATAGTGCCTTTATAAAATTATATATGAGTAGTGATAATATGTTTCGTAGCTATTACTAGTCGCATCCTAATTGCGTAATATGATATTTATATTTAATATAGAATCAACTTGAAGACCTCCCTGCAGAACTAATAAAATAGTCTAAATTCACACTAAATGGATTGCTCTTGTAGCATTAATTCACTTCTTCCCAATTATTAGATTGTCTTTTAAGCTCTAATTTGAAACGAAATTATATTGACAGGGCCATTTTAGGAATTTTCCAAACATAAATCTCTACAAGTAAGAAAATTAGTTTTAAATATAACATTATTTAAATTATAACTAGTGTTTTAAGAGTCATAATAAGTACCGTAGCTAATGATTCCCTAGTAACAACAAACATCATATCCTCCTTTTGTAATAGATTTCCTCTTTTCTTATCCTCTTTTTGCCTTTAACATCCGTTCATATACAGTTGGATCGACTTTTAAGCTCTAATTTGATACAAAAATAAATCGAATGGACCAAAAGAATATACAAAAAGACTATATTTATTCAAATTGTACCTTTTGAAAACTACGTCCTTTATGAATAGTAATATTTTGAGAATGGTAATAAGTTCCGTAGCTATTATTTCCTCACAATAATTTAAGACCTCCTATTTTCATTCCTCTTGAGCCGCGGAACAAGAACCGTTAAAAATCTTGATTATAAATTTATTTGCCTTCGTTTTATATTCCTGTGAACCTGTAAACTAATTTTGCTGATCTATAAAAAAAAATATAAAATTAAATAAATTTTTATAAATTATTCTAAATATACAATCACCTGTACTTCAATATAAGTCTTAAAAGCAGCACCATTTCCCTTACTTCTTTTGTGATCTCTATTGGCATAGAATAATAAAAACCCTAACTAATAACATTCTTTCCAGTACTAATATTTACTGCTCAAAACTGGTCTTCAAAAATCAAATTTAAATTAGTATTGAATATTTATGAATAAATTTGCCGGCTAAGCAGCAACATTTTTGCAAATATTTTTCGCCAAATATTATGGTTTAGTGATTTGCTAGAAGAAACCAAATTGCTTTTCTGCAAAAAGAATGTAAAAACTAATTTGAAAAAACTTGTATTATGTGGCACTTTTTTATGGGTATATATTTCCGCGATTGGACGTTTCTTCATTTTAACTTTTTTCTCTTTATTTGGTATTCTTTTTCTTATTTCTTCATACATATATAACAAAGGGGGGGCAGAAAAAATACTTCTACAGTTTATTTTTTTAGAAAATCAAAATAATGAAAAACAATAACAAAAAAAAATCATCATGGTAAAACTTGCTATGTATATACACGGCACACAACAACAATATCAGACGACGGCAGCAGCAGGGTACACAGTTGAAAAAGAAAAAAAAACATATTTTATAAATACACACACAACACGCGACGCTCGAGATTTTTTTATTTGTATTTCATTTTATTTTTTTATTCGTTGCTTTTCATTTTGTTTTTGTTGTTGTTTTTATATTTAATTTAATGACATTGTAGGTTGTTGGCTGGCTGGCTTGGTTTGGTCTGCTTGTTACGTTTTGCTTATTTAGGTATATACTACGGTGGTCGTTTTGTTGTTGATTGATCAATCGATTAGAGTGAGAGAGGGGGTAGGTGTGTTAAATTGTGTAGTATATAGGGCGCGCATAAGAAATAATAAAAAAAACGAACAAAAAAACATAATAACAGTAACAACGACGAAGGCGACGTTGTTGCCAAAGTGTAAAGAGAGAACGTTGTTTTATTTTTTTTTTATTGTATGGCAAAGAGAAGTTGTTGTGAGAATTTTAGTCGTAGCAGTTAAAGAGAGAACGAGATATTTTTTTATTTATTATTTGTTTCGAACAAAACAAAACAAGGCGTACGTGATTGCGCGACGGTGTGATTTTTTGTTGTTGCATGGGTATTTATTTTTTATTTTCAGTAGCAAGATAAATATTTTTTTCGTATTGATTTTTGTGTATATTTATTTTTATATATTTTTGTTTACTTTTAATAATTGCCAAACATAAAATTATTTAATGAAAAATAAATGTTCTTTTATTAACACTTTGTAAACAAATTTTCCATAATAAACAAACAGTTTTTTAATATTTTGATATATTTTGTTATTTTTTTGCATTTTTTTTAAACTATGTATTGATTTTTTTTTAAACTTTTTTATACAGTTTATTTTTAATTAATTTTATTTTCGACACACTATTTTTATATTATATATTTTTATTGTCTTTTTTATAAATTTCTTTATATTTTTCACTTTTTATAGTTCATAGTAAACAACACAATTTTTAAATATATATTATTTTTTATATTTATTTTTAGTTCTTATTTGACACATTTTCAATATTTTTTTATCATATTATTTATTTTTAATCATTATGTTATAATATTATTTATTATTTTTTATGTTATTTATTTTTTAATTAATTTTTTTTTTATTTTCGTAACTTTAGAATTTTTTGTTAAAAGGCCACTTTTTTCACTTTTGATGCCGATATGATGTTTAACGATTTTTTTTTATAAAAAATTTATTTTTTTTTAATAAAGCATTTGGAATACCTTAAACCTTACCACTGCGCAGAATTTGTATTTATTTTTTTTACATTGGAAGAGGGGGGAAAAGTTCTTTAAGAGTCAATAAGAGAGTGTTCGAGTGTTCGCTGACTGCATGGAGAGTCTGTTTAATATTCAGGGATAATCTTTCAAGATTTTATTTTGAAATAAAAGTCTAAATTAAAAACAAAGTAAGATAGCAATTAATAAATAGTAATTCCACAACACCCAAAGAGTTAAAAATTATTATTTTTATTAATATACAAAAAAATAGATTTTAAAACTTAATATCATTATTAAGATTATTTTTGTTGTGACCGGAGTAAAATAGAGGACATTAGATGACGCTTCTAACGTTTTTATCGAAATCGTAGCACAAAACACACACTCACACACACACAAAATGTAGCTCTAAAAGGTAGTGTAAAACACAGTTCATATATTTTCTTTTTTAATTTTTGGTATTTTTTCATTTTTTTTAATTTCAATTAAATTATTTTTTTTTAATAAAAACAAAATTTTGTTTCTTTTTTTTTGTAAATTCAGAAAAAATATTTAGAAAAAAACTTTTGTGTATTATAAAAATAGTTCAGTACCTTCGAGTTGACGTTGGCGCTGTTCAGCTGCAGCTATGATGGCAGCAGCAGCAACTGTATCCTGATGCATGACACCCGTTGATATCGGCGATGAGGGTCTTGAGGACTGTTGTTGTTGCTGCTGCTGTTGTTGTTGATTAACCGCATGATGAACATGATGCGGATGATGATGATGTTGGTGATGATGATGATGTGAATAAGCCGAGTGGTGATGATGGTGGCCGCTGCTTCCCGCATGATGTGCGGAAGATGTGGGTTCCTCTGTTACAGAGGGTGTTGGCGAAGCGGGACCCGACAAAAGGCCACCGCTATTGCCGCCACCACCGACACCACCACCACTAACACTGTTGCCTCCTCCAACAACCGACGACGAGGATGAGGAGGCATTATGTAAATTTTGTTCATATTTAGAGGACATTTTATCGTAACTATTCATCAATGGTCTCTGATCGTCCATAGTCATTGCAGCGACACTCATTACAATAATAAATTTTCTCTAATTAAGGCCAAAAATTTTGGTAGTGTTTATTTTCGATAATATGCAAAACAAAAGCCTTCAATGATACAGTGTTTCTTTCTCTTGCGTGATTGCTTTGCGCTCTTTACTAACAGCAGAGTACAGCGACGGCGACGACGAATTATTTCTTATATCTCTATTACTATATGTTTGTAAGCATGTATGTACAAATCACCTCAAACAAAGAGACTTTTTCGTCAATTCGTTGCAAATTCAACGTCGTCTTGTGTATATATGATGTTGCGTTTTTTTGCTTTTCTTTTCGTTTTTCAATTCCGATGCCTTATACAATTTGTATTCCGTTGTATTGCCGTTTCATTACTTTTTTCTTTTAAATAAAAAAACATATATAGATAGATTTATTAATTTTATGACAAAATAGATTTTTCTCGTTGCTGTCAGCCACTTTTTTCTTTTTATTTTTTTGCTTGAATTTATTGATTTGCCTGCTTCTTCTTCATCGTTTCTCTTTCGGTGGCATACAATAACTCCCCGTCGACTTTGAATAAATATGTATGCCTCGTTTTTTATTTTTCTTCTTCTTTTTTCTTTCAGAAACACATAACTCTTCTCGTTTTTTTCAATTACAATTTTCACTTACGTTTGGTACAATTTTTCATAAAATTTCTTATAATTTCTATTAAACAGTTTATGCTTTAACACTTTTGCGTAGAATTTTCCATAAATTTAGCACTTAAACGCGTTAAAATTTCAATTTTTCAACCAATTTCGTCGCGTCACAACTTTTTTCTATGGTTGCTGGCTTTGGTGTTGCCAATCGCCTATGACAATTAATCAATATGGCGGCGATTGTTTGTGTTAATGGCAAAGGGGTTACTTAACGCACAGTTACTCGTTGAATGGTGACTTTTCACGCAAACATTTCGGCAACGGCGTTGTGGTTTGTTTACATAGAAGAAATAAGTTGTATTTTAGAATATTTTAATATAAAAATAAACTGTTACGTTCTAAACTATGAAATATCCATTAAAAATTAAACGTAAAATTTAAAAGGAAACGTACGTCTATATACCTCATTGTATTTATATAAAAATAATATTTTAATAGGGAAAATTTGTAGCCGATAAAACTAGCATACAATGCATCACTTGTACAACCCAAGCACACTTGTTAAGAAACCCAAACAAATCCGTGTTCAAAAAACTGCATACTTTCATGTATCCAAAACCTGCGTTTTTATAAAAAAAAGCTTTCTAGCCTGTGAGTATTTAAGACATAGAAAGAAATAATTTTACTCATGGTACAATTATTCAAGGTATGCACTATCAACTTATAAATTACAATTTTTTTTCATACTGTTGCTTGTTATGCCAAATTCATATACAAAATGTGTGACTGTGTATGTAAGGTTTTGAAAAATATAACAAAATATATTCGAAAATCGAATATGAAGATGAATTTTACAACAATTGTAAGAAGAAATGTATGATTTGTGAATGAAACAAGATGTAAATAATATCGATTTTGAAAGGAAAACCTGGCATTCCATTCATTTTCCGCGTGTTTGGTAAAATGTTAAAAATATGTCATATGAACAGAACGACTTCTTGCTTTTGTTTTCATTTAGTCTGACATTGCTGCCATTAACTCGAGTTGAGCTAGCGTGACCATATGGTCACACTCATTATACGATCAATAAATCATCTAAAAAACCTGTACCCGAGCGATTATCCAAATCAAATTTTCTATTTTCTGACAAAAACTGCCCTACCTTGTATAATTGTACCAGGATTTTACTATTCATTAAATATTTGTTTTTAAAGGTTTGATATATTTTCATAATAGTACGTTTTCATTATACTGGATTTCGTTAACCCAGTGGGTTTGAATTGTCAATTCCTTTGAATATACGCCAAATAAATCCTCACAAAGTAGATTAACGCGGTACAAAAGTTCTAATGTAAATGCCACATAAAATAGTGATTCTAAAAAATCGTTAATAGTACGTTTACATTGTACCTGACGTTTACGTTGTATCGAAAAAAAAAACGTTCCTCAACCCACAAAACTGGTAAAACATTGACTCAAATTTAAGACAGCACAAAACAAAATGGCCTTCTTTTTGTAAACTTTTTACTCGAGAAATTTGGTCGAGTAAAAATGGTAAACAGGAATGCCCACTTTTGATTGGCTGTTATGTTGATTTTGAAGTATTGCCATTTAATTTTGGCATATTTACTAGATTTGCGTTCCCGAAGTTTTCAAATTATTGTGTACTCTGAGAGCAATTTTGAAATGTTTCCCTTTTACTACATTTACTATTAAAAAAGTACTGGAATAGACCAAAAGTCAATATGTTATAGAATATCTTAATAATTTTCTGGTGAAAAAAACTTTTGACAATTGGTATTCTATAGAAGACGATGTGTTTCTTTAGCACTTCTGGTAACTTTTTATAGGTAAATCAAATAATCTTCGGCAAAAAACGGAAAGACATTTTTTATATAGAAAACTGAAGATTTTCTATGGTAGATCAAAGTGTATTCAATTTCATATTTTTCTTTTTTCTCAAAGTAGTTTCAGGTTTATGTAAGTGATAAACTGTTTTATCATGATTAATTTGACAATATTGTGAAAAAATCATGGCATAATTATGTCATGTATTAAAATATACCTTTCCGTGTATAAATCCCAAGTAATTAGTCTAAACATCATATTAACAAAGCCTGCGTTGCCAAAATGGGAAATACGGTAACTCTATTTTACTCTGAACATATGTGTGTTATCAATGGCAAGTGAATTGCAGCATTACAAAGAGGAAGAGCACAATGTGCGGGCTCTAAAGGCTCAATAGCAGTTCGTCCTCGGACGGCTCACAAGAAAGACGTAAAAAAAATTTTAAATGAGTACTAACGGTTGTTAAGCGTTCGCTTAACTAACACGTGTGTTTTTAAATACGGATAACCTATAAATTACGAGTCGTTCAACAAAATCCAAACAGCTGCGCATGAAATTTTTAATTTTCAAATTTAATAGTGTGTACTATGTGACTCCTTCACAGTAGAAGAGTTCACTGATACACAAGGCTTAGAATTGAACATTGTGGTCAAATTCTTAAAGAAGATCGAAGTCAACCTGCACAAACCACCATCTATGGATAAAGTCAAATTCGTAGCAAAGCTACATACGGATACATGGCACTAAACCTTCTATCCCTATAGAAAGTGGGCCAACCAAAATAATAAAAAAAAAAAAAAAAAAAAAAAAAAAGGCTCAATAGCCCTAATTGTAAACAAATGACCAACAGCAGCAGGAATTGGTCCAAGAAATAACCATTTGGAATCAACAAACCAATACCAGATCTAAAAGAAATGTCTGCTAAAATACAAATAAATAAACGTGTCAAAGGTCTACCCAGGGAGGAGTTGGAGAAACTCTCCAAGACCGAATTAATTGATAAAATCATACAGCTGGAGGCATATAACTTCCAATTGAAAAATATTTTAAACAAGAAATTGGACGAAAATGATGACGACCTGAGAGATGAACTTAAGGAATTGAATAAATTAAATGAACAATGTAAGGCAGAGGAAGGAAAGAAGAACGAGGATGTTACAGAGAATCCCGCAGAGGGATCTGCTGAGGCCCCAAATGCTGTTGTGGGTAACAACAAGAAGAACAAGAAAAGGGAGTTTGACTTCAGCAAGTAAGTGGAAACGTGACCAATAGCCGGTACAAGTAACTGAATTGTATGAATTTGTTGTTTCAGATGCCACAAAAGACATGTCTTAATGAAATTTTTGTACTTTGGCTGGGATTATCAGGGTTTTGCCTGTCAGGAGGATTCCAATGCGACCATAGGTTGTAAAATTCAATAATTTGTTAATTTTTATGTTAATGATAATTTTTCCATAGAATATCATTTGTTTAGAGCCTTGACCAGAGCCTGTTTGATAGAATCCCGCAATACTTCCAACTATCATCGTTGTGGTCGCACCGACAAAGAAGTCAGTGCCTTTTGTCAGGTCGTATCAATTGATTTGCGTAGCAAATTCCCGCCGGAGAAACAATTTGATGAAGACAGCCTTAATAATGAAATAGATTATTGTGGTCTATTGAATCGCATTCTGCCAAAAAATATTCAGTGCATAGCCTGGATGCCTTTGCGTAGCCCGGTATATAGTGCCCGATTTGATTGTGTGGCAAGGACATATCGTTATTATTTTCCCAAAGGTGATTTGAATATAGAGGTAAGTAAGAAAGAACACGAATTATTATTAATTAAATAAATAATGTTTCTTGTATTTCTTTAGGCCATGCAAAAAGCTTGCAAATTATTACAAAAACATGGTGATTTCCGCAACTTCTGTAAAATGGATGTCCATAATGGTGTAACAAATTACATACGAAATTTACAATCGGCCAATGTTCGACCATGTCCCAATGTACAAGATGAACAACGTCAGGGTTATTCGATGTACTATTTGGAAATCAAGGCAAATGCTTTTCTGTGGCATCAAATACGTTGCATTATGGCAGTTTTGCTACTAATTGGCCAGCAGAAAGAAGATCCGGAGGTGATAACCGAACTACTGGATGTTGAAAAGAATCCATGGTAATGGGAAAACGTCAATATTTAAGAAGTAATTTTAATTTTGAAATATTTTTTCTTTCAGTAAACCTCAATATACACCTGCAATTGGTTTACCTTTAAATCTCTTCAACTGTGAATTTCGTGAGAAAACATGCCGGCGAACCGATGAAGAGTTGGGAATGGATGCCCAATCCAATGATGTAGTTGTTGATGCCCAATCAGATGATGTTGTTGTTGTGGCGACTGAAAAAGAGGATATAATGGATATTGATTCTACACCGGATATCAGCCCTTGGATTTATGATGAGGAGAATCTACAAAAACTTATTGAAAATGTCCAAAGCGAATGGACACAATTTAGTATAAAGTAAGTCACAAGAGACTGCACACAAATTTTAAACAACAATCAGAACGAAAAGACTTCCATAGAAATAGAAGGTCTCCTTCTGACCAGACCAGAAGGTCTCCTTCTGTAAAAGACCAAAAGGTCTTCTTCTGTAGAATACCAGAAGGTCTTCTTCAGTAGAAAACCAGAAGTTATTCTTCTGTAGAAGACCAGGAGGTCTTCTGTAGTAGACTAGAAGGTCTTCTTCTAAAGAAGTCCAGAAAGTATTCTTCTGTAGAATACCAGAAGTTATTTTTCTGTAGAAGACCAGGAGGTCTTCTTCTGTAGAAGACCAAAAGGTCTTCTTCTGTAGTAGACTAGAAGGTCTTCTTCTAAAGAAGTCCAGAAGGTATTCTTTTGTAGAAGACCAACAAGTTCTACTATAAAAGAAAAAATATCATATGCTGGTCTTCTTCCATAGGAAATCAGAATGTAATATTCTGCAGAAGACCAGAGGGCCTTTTACAGAAAATGGCCTGTAGGACTTCTTTTGTAGAAGACCAGAAGGTCTTCTGTAGTGGGGTTTTTCTGTAGAAGACCAGAAGATGTTCTTCTGTAGAAGATCAGAAGCTCTTCATATGTAAATCATAAGAAGATCTTCTTCTAGTATTCTTCCATGGGAAATCAGAAGGTAATTGTCTGAGGATGATCTGAAAGTCCTCTTCTATAGAAGTTAAGAAAGTCTTCTATAAAAGACTAAAATATCTTCTATAGATCGCTAGACGGCCTTCTTCTGTAGTAGACATAAAGTTCTTCCTCTGTAGAAAAATGGAAGTATTTCTCCTAAAGGAGACTAAATGGTCCTCTTCCGCAGAGGACAAGAACATGTCCATCTTTAGAAGGCAATAAATTCTTCTCTGGAAACCCGGAAGATTATCTCGGGAATGCCAAAGAGTTTTCTCTAGAAGTTCGAAAGTTCTATCGAAAATATCGAAAGCCCTTTTACCTAGATGACCAGAAGATTTCAACATCAGAAGCCTTCTCCAGTCTTCTCCAGAATATTCAAAAACGAATACTGTTTAAGACCACAAGGATTTTGTTTGAAGACATTTTTTTCTTTACGGTTAATCGTATTTTATAGAAAAAGAAAATATTTTAATTTTTAAATATATTGAACCTATAATTTCTCCAATTATTTCTCCATGTCTTTAGATCCACAATGATTCGTAATGTTCTACACAATTTGGAATCGCTTCTTGATAAGGAATTTAAACCGCAAGCAGTGCAATCACAGGTGCTACTCCTGCAAGATGGTGTCAAACCTAGGCAATATCAAAAATTACTAACAAGAAAACGATGTGGTAAGAATGTCCTATAAAAAAATTGAATTTTTATAACTAAAAAATTGTTCTTTATCTTTGCAGAGAGTTTGGAAAATCGTATTGAACATTTTGTAAAGAAGCAACGTCTCATAGTCAACGATGGTAGTTCGGCAAAATAAGACATATTGACTACTCTTAATTGTAATTAGTTTCAAATTGCATGTACTCTGTAATATTTCTTAATAGTCTACATTTTAATTAGCAATAATTAAAAAAAGAGATAAGATTATTTTTTGTATACAAATTACAAATAAAATTTAATAATTGAAGATTTTTGTTGTTTGATTCCAGCTCCACCAGTTCATCCAAATTTAGTACTTGTCGTGTTCACTAAAGCCACCTCCTTATATCAACACTACCTTTCTACAACCTTGATTCGCCATCCAAATTACAAGTTTTGTAGCTCTATCCATTCACATGCTACACAATTGCACCAAATTTAGTACATTTTAGTACTTTTCGATTACTCATAGTTCGAATTTCCTGATCATCATTCCAAATTTAAGAGTTGTAGCTCTATCGATTCGCACAAATACAAATGGTAGGTTATTTAATATTTTTGGACTTTTCGTGCCGTTCAAATACGAATTTCCAAAAATCCAGCCTTATCTGACACCTTCGGACCAAGAGTGACCCTCATGCCAAATTTCAAGCTTCTAGCTTTAGCCGTTTCGTCTGGGCGTTAAAGAATCTTTAAGTCAGTCAGTCAAGCACTTTACTCTTTCTTTAATATAGATTTCAAATGTGTGAGAAAACTTCAGAATCTCCTTTAATCATTGCTGCAAATTTCATAAAAATCGGTTAAGTAGTCCGTGAGTTATTTGCATTTGAATTGAACGATGATCCGAAATATACTTCCTGTTCGCTGCTGGTCGCCTATTACCTAATAATGAAAAACCCCACAAAAATGCATCTTTTAAAAATGGCAATTTTTCTTCTTTCATTATGTGGCTGCAGGTTTATAAAAAAGATTATTGCATACTTTTAGGCGAAAAGCAAAAATTTTAATGTTCTCGTATTTGCCCCTATAACTTTTGAACTACTGGCGGTATTGTAATAAAATTGGTGTCATATGAAAGCTAAGAAGACTGGCTATTCGTCTATCCATCCGAGAATTCATAAATATGAAGCTGCTTATATTAAAATTTAATTGGAAAGATACGTTTATAAATTTTCCCTTTGAAACAGATTTAAAATTGAAATGAGCCATTTCAATAATATAGAAAAATATCTCACCTTTAATAGGTCACCTTATTTGTGTTAATCGGGCGGTGGGTTAAAAAGTTACAGCCATTGGAAGACAATTCTAAAGAAACCCCTACAAGCAAGGAAGAATTTGCAAACGAGTCTTTCAAAATAATTTTTCACATAAATAGGTTAATATTTATGAAAATACGAATAGATAGGATAATAGCCAGTCTTTTTAGCTTTCATAGGACACCAATTTTATTACAATACCGCCAGTAGTTCAATAGTTATGGGACAAATACGAGAACATTACGTTTTTCGCCCAAAAGTATGCTATAATTTTTGTTTACAAACCGACAGCCATTGTGAAAGGAAAATTGTCGTTTTTAAAAAATGCATTTTTGTGTGATTTTTCATTTTTAGGTAATAGGCGACCAGCAGCGTATAGGAAGTACATTTCGGAGCATCGTTGAATTTAAATGCAAATAACTCAGCGGCTGCTTATCCGATTTTTATGAAATTTGCAGCAATGATTAGAGGGGATTCTGAAGTTTTTTTTCAGATAATTAAAATCGATGTAAATAAAATAAAAAAGTGATCGACTGAGTGAGTAAACTATTCATCAACGCCCAGACGAAACGGCTGAAGCTAGAATCTTGAAATTTAGAGTGAGGGTAACTCTTAGTCCAAAGATGTCAGATAAGACTGGGTTTTTGGATATTCGTGCTACAACCGCACGAAAAGTACTAAAAATTACTAATTTTGCTAGCATTAGTATTTGGCGAACCGGTAGAGTTAGAACTGTTAAATTTGGAATTAGGGTCACTGTTGGAGTGTAGGATACCAAATATGTTTTTCTTTTGAAAATTTAAACTATAAGTATCCGAAAAGTACCACATTTTTGTATAAGTTCGCAGCATGTGAACAGATGGAGCTACAAAACATGAAATTTGAAATACGAATCAAGGTTGAGAAGAGGGTTCGATGTAAGGAACAGCGGGAGCTTTAATCCTGAAATTTGAAATAAACATTACCGTAGGATTTGGGATATGATTTAGATAGTCCCCATGTAACAAAACCTCTCAAAATTCGGTTTGTGGGTGTTAGGGCAAGTTTTTTTAACCGAATGACCTGTAAATTTCTATTTTTTTTCCCATTACGTGTCAAATTATGACACAAAAAATTATGATTATTGGTCCCATTTTTAGGGTAGTCCCCATGTAACATACCCTCTCAAAATTCGAATTTTAGGGAGCTTGGTCTTGTTTTTCTACCGAATTGGCTGTAATTTGATATTTTGCGTTCTAACTGGGTATCAAATCTTCCTACAAAAAATTATAAATACTGCTACCATTTTTAGGGTAGTCCCCATGTAACATAAACCCTCAAAATTCGGTTTTTGGGAAGTTTGGGCAGGTTTTTTTTTCAAGAGAATGGGCTGTAAATTGATATTTTTGGTTCGCATTGAGTGTCAAATTATCGTAACAAAAATGATCAATATTTGTTCACCTTTTAGGATAGTCTTCATGTAACATAGCCTCACAAAATTCGGTTTTTGGGGATTTTAACATATTTTTTTCAACAGAATGGGCTGTAAATATATATTTTGGTTTTTCATTGGGTGGCAAATTATCCTACCAAAAATTATCAATATTGGTCCCTTTTTCAGGGTAGTCTTCATGTAACATAACCTCACAAAATTAGGGTTTTGGGGAGTTTGGCAAGTTTTTTTTTCTTACAAAATTCGGCTTTTGGGCAGTTGAATTTTATAATTAAAAAATTATTTGTATCTTTGCAGAGAATTTTGATTTTTCTTAAGAAAAAACAACGGACAATGGACATTTTGTTAAAAAACAACGACTCATAGCCAATGATGGTAGCCCAGGAAAAATAAAGAAACATTCGCTCTCTGGCTTTTTTTAGTTCAAACATTCAACGTTTTTAGTTTATTTTTTTGTTTTTGTTTTACAATTTGAAATAAATTTGAAGAAATCTTAAACATCTTTTTTTCATACATACATTTATATATATATAGTACACCATTAATTAATTAATTAACATTAATAAAATTTCTTTGTTAAATTGTAACAGAATTTTAAATCTTAATATTTAATGTGTAATATTTTTTTATTTAACTCTTATTTGTAATTAGTTTCAAAAAGCAAAAAAAGAAAAGAAGACAAATATATTTTGTACGCTCTAATATTTCTTAATAGTATACATTTTAATTAACAATAATTAAAACAGAAATAAGATTCAATATTTTTTTCATTTATAAATTATAAATACAATTTTATAATAATAATAATAGATTTTTGTTGCAATAAACATTAATGTGAAATTTACAACTGCTGTTTATAACTGTGTGTTTTATTCTTAATAAAAATAATTGTAATTAAACGTTACTTTACACATATGTATACTAAAACTAAAATTAGAAATAATTCTTAAAAATATCAAGCTCCCATGGATTTAGCCTTTTGTAATCTGGAATGGAATGAAAATAAAAATAAAATATTATTATAAATTAAATTGATTGTTATGTAAAAAATATATATACTGTTCAATTATTATTACTTATTATTCAGTTTTTATATATTTAATGGTTCAACCAACTTACTTTCTCCTTAAAACTTTCAAGACAATTGCTCCTTCGCGCACATTTTTAAATAATGCAATGGTTTCGGCATGACTCATACCCTGCACCGAAGTGCCATTAATTTCAACGATTTCATCGCCTGAAATAAAAAAACAAATTAAATAAATATAACATTTTGAAAATTCATCCAATTATTTTTGTAGCAAAAAGAGGAAGATAGAACCGGTTTTGAACCGATAATGAGCCGGTTCAATTAATTTAGCTCGTTTGTTCTTTGAGCTTTCTGGTGATATGCATATTAGGTATTAAAACCGGTTTTATTATCTGAATATCCGGTTCAAAAATTTAGAAAACCGGTTCCTTCTTCTTCGAAATGTATTCTTGTAGGCGTATTTGGCATAGCTATAAATGTTTTAGTAAACCATTTTGGGTACTCATTGGGTATCAAATCTCCGTACCAAAAACTATTATTGGTTCCATTTTTAGGTTAGATCCCATGTAACATAACCTCACAAAATTCGGGTTTTGAGGACTTTGTGCATGTTTTTTCAGTTGAATTGGCTATAATCTTGAATTTTGGGTTCTCATTGGGTAGCAAAACTCCGTACTAAGAATTATCGGCATTGGTCCAATTTTTAGGGTTGCTCTCATGTAACATAACCTTTCAAAATTCGGTTTTTGTGTATATGGGCAAGCTTTTTCAACCGAATCGTCTAAAAATTTATATTTTGGGTACTCATTGGCTATCAAATCTTCCTACCAAAAACAATCAATATTGGTCGCATTTTTAGGATGGTCCCCATGTAACATAACCTCTCAAAAGTCGTTTTTTGGGGAGCTTGGCAAGTTTTTTATCCGAATTGGCTGTAATTTGATATTTTGGGTTATCGTTGGGTATTAAATCTTCCTGCCTAAAATCATAAATATCAATCCCTCTTTTAGGGTAGTCCGCATGTAACATAACCTCTCAAAATTCGGTTTTTGGAGAGTTTGGGCAGGTTTCTTTCAACCGAATGTGCTGTAAATTTGTATTTTGGGTTCTCATTGACTGTCAAATCATACTAAACAAATTATCCATATTGGTCCCATTTTTAGGGTAGTCCCCATATAACATAACCTCTCAAAATTCGGTTTTTGGGGAGTTAGGGCACTTTTTCAATCGAATTGTTTATAATTTTGTATTTTAGTTTTTCATTGGGTATCAAATCTTCCTACCAAAAATTATAAATATTTCCCCCATTTTTAGAGTTGTCCCTACGTAACATAACCTCACAAAATTCGGCTTTTAGGGAGCAGCCCAAGCTCCCTAAAACCCGATTTTTTTCAACCGAATTGGCTGTAATTTGATATTTTGGGTAGAAAATCTCTTTACCAAAAATTATGAATATTTGCCCAAATTTAGGGGTAGATCCTATATATAATGGTACTCATTTTATTGGGGTATAGGACAAGTTTTTCAACGGAATTGGCTTTAATTTGAAATTTTGGATTTTTCTTGGGTAGGAAATCTTCCTACAAGAAAACTTATGAATATTGGTCTACTTTTTAGAGAAGCATCCGTAAAATGGAAGGAATTTAAGAAATTTAGGAACCTCAATACCAAAAAACATTTCTCTTAGAAGCTAATAGGATAGGTCTTCTAAAATAAGACAAGTAGGTCTCCTAATGGAAGACAGATTGATCTTTTAATAGAATTGGTATTTTCATAGATGGGTCTTCGAATAAAATACAGATGGATCTTCTAATAGAAGTCAGGTGGATCTTTAATTATAAGACGGATAGGTCCTCTAATAGGATACATATCTATTAATAATAGACAGCTAGGTCTTTTTATAGAAGACTAAGAGAAGACAGATAGGTCTTCTAATAGAAGATTGATAGGTATTCTAAACAAAGACAGATAGGTATTCTAATAGGAGACAAATAACTCTTCTAATTGGAGATAGGTAGGTCAGATAGGTCTTCTAACAGAAGACAGTTTGGTCTTCTAATAGAAGACAGATGGGTCTTTTAATAGTAGACAGATAGGTCTTCTAATAGAAGAAAGATGGGTATTCTAATAGGAAACCGATTGGTATTCTAATAGGGAACAGATAGGTCTTCTAATAGAAGACAGATAGGTCTTAAAATAGAAGACGGAAAGGCCTTCTAATAGATGAAAATTGGTCTTCTAATAGGAGAGAGTTAGCTCTTCTAATAAAAGATGGATTTAGGTCTTCTGTCCTCTTTTAGTAGACAGATATTAGAAGTCAGCATGGCCTTCTATTAAATACCTTTAAGTCTTCTAATAGAAGATGTGGTCTTCTTTCATTAGCCTGATCATTTGATTATTTTAATGTTTCTATTTTTCCATTCAACTTACCCGCTTGCAATGAACCATCATCGGCTGCTTGTCCACTGGGAAATACTGTCTTTACAAATATGCCCATATTGCCCTTGGGCGAATCACGGCCGCCAACAATGCTGAAGCCCAACGATTTGAGACCGGGACCCTTGAAGAATGTTACAATTTTGGGTGTGCCTCGACGAGAACCTAATGGAAAAAATATTTCATTTAATACCACTCCAGGAAATAATTTAAAAAATAGGTATTTAGTATTATTAATTACCCTCACTCATCGAAGCTCTAATAACTTCGGCCATTTCTTCATCCTTTATGGTTAGTTTAACTACTGGCAACGAGGGCCGATGATGTTGTAACATGGCTGCCGTTGGTGTTAAATATGATGAAGAGGAGGAAGAAGTAGAAGATGTTGATGATGATGCTGATCTATGACCAACTAAAGAGGAGACATTTAAATGATGCTGGTGTGATTGTTGTTGTTGTGGATGTTGGTGGTGCTGATGTTTGGTTAATTGATTAAAATTTAAGGTAGCAGAAGCTGTGCAATTTGTTTTTTGTTTATCCTGCTGTTGTTGTTGGGCGGATTTGTTGGTATTACTGAGATCATGATTGGAATCTGGGGACATATGATTCCCAGATTGTTGTTTCTCTTGTGATTCTGAGTCATTTGTGGTGTGGTCATCAAGTTGTTGGTTATTTAAAGCAATTGTTGTTGTTGTAAATGTATTAGATTGTTGTTGTGTTTGTTTTTTTAGGGTATTATTAGTTGTGTTATTTGTTTGTGTTGTATTGTTTGTCGGTGATGTATTATTGGTTGTTGCTGTTGTCGAGGAAGATGTATTAGGTTGTAGGAATAAACTTAGACGCGACGAACTCAAACGGGAGTGTGCAAAACGCAACGAACGATAATGCGAATTTGAGAGATTTATTGAATTGCGCGTATAATGTGAACGTGGTGGAAATCCTCCCGCTGCACTTGAGGGGGTCTGAGGCGTCACACTGCCCTCCACACTGTTCTGACTTACAAGACTAGCTTTGCGGGTTTCTATACTCAAGGAAGCACTACGATTACCTGCCGCATGACCCTCTTTGGAGAGGGGTGTCAACAACGCCGCACCCTCGGAACAACGTTTACGATTCAATAGCTGCCATTTCTCATCATCGCTTATCGTATGCGTTGCCAAAGACACACTCGCCGAACGATTGTTATAGACAGGTGTGTATTCCGGTGTTTGATTGTTATTGTAAAGCAATGGCGATAATTCCAAATTACGCTGACCTGAAGAGGATCGAGCCCGTCGCCGCAAATGTTCCATGGCTGTGGCGTCCATGGAGTGTCTGGGCGTCGAGCAACGTCGATGTTGCATCAACGGCATTGATGGTGGCATACTTGCCATACCCGATGCTGATGTCATATCCATTCGCGAACTAATTGTGGAGGTACTGGCCAGCGAGGCAGTGTCCTCCTCATCCCGCTCATGATCCAAAGCCATTTGTAAACTATGTAAATCATAACTATTGATACTGTCGGTACTTTGTGTCCTCTGTGTATAGCTAAGGCGTTTGCGGGCCCTTGCCAAATAGTCGTTACGTGTCTGTGGAGGTTGTGGTCCCGTATCAGCAGCATTCAGCGATTGCATGGAACTGTAAAGATCCTGTTTTTGTTTGTTGTTATGCTGTTGTTGCTGCTGATCCGTTGTCATTTGTCCATGATAATGACTCAGGCTACCGTCAATTTTAATTTTGGTATAAAAATCGGTAATTGTCGTCACCTCGTCATGAGCTATAACCAAATCAATACAATTATCAACGAAACAGTTGAGTAGCCTTTGGACTTCCTGGAAAGATTGTATGCCTCGCAAATGGCTGCCATTTACATTGACAATTTCATCACCGAGTCGCAGGCGGCCATCTCTGGAAAAATACAAAGGAAAAGAAGAAGATGATTAAAATTTGATTAAAGAAGGGGGAGGGTGTTATGCGATCCATAGAATGTGTAATAAAATGGGAAGTAATGGCAAATTTCCCCTCCATAGACGAGTTGAGAAATATCTGCAATCTAGAGAAGAGGTCTTCTATTTCTTCTAATTATCATTAGCTCTACCAGGATTGATGAAAGTTTATAAGCTTTGGAAGAACTTTAGTACCTTTTCTAGCTCTTGAAGAATTTGAAAAAGTCTTCTAGCTTTGGAAGAATTTAAGAAGATAATCTAGCCCTAAAAGAATTGTAAAGATCTTCTAGATTTGAAAGAGCTGCATAAGGTCTTGTGGCAATAGAAGAATTATAGGTATTTTAGTATTGGTAGAATTCTATAAGATCCTCCAAACCTAGAAGAACGGTAGAAGGTCTTCTAGATTTGGAGACGCTGTGAAAGATCTTTTATACATAAAAGAGCAAAAGCAGGGCATATTATAAATGTGCTATAAGAAGTATTTCATCTAGAGAATATATGCAGAAAATTATTTCTGTTTATAGAACAGACGAGCTACAAAAGCTCCTCTTTTATACGGAGGAGGTCTATCTATAGATGATATAAAATATAAATCTCTATAAATTTATTGAGAACAAAAATTAATTTGTTTTTTTGTGCTTTGTAGTTATTTTGCAATATCATTCAATCAGATGATTCCATTCACCATGGAGTGTTAACATATTGATTATTAGATCAGAGTCGCAACTATGATCTAATAGTTGAGGAAGATGAAAAGAGGACTTTTTTCATTATAATAGTATTTTGTCTAAGGCAGAGGTCCATAGAAGAGATATTCTATTTTAAGACGATGTTTGAAGACCGTTGAGAGGTCTTTCATTCAAAGACAATGACATTTTAATTAATTGAGGTGCTCTTTTTGCCACACCTTTTTATGAGAGGAAGAATTCTTCCCTAGAAGTTTACATTTTCAGAAGAGGGTTATATGTATAAAGGAGGACCAGAAAAATAAAATTTTCTATAAGTCGTTGTCCATCTAATCTCCAATTAAAAAAAAAAAATAAAAATGTCTACTTACTTTTGGGCCATTCCATAGGGATCAATTTCCACAATTAAATAACGATACTGCTGGTCATTCGTCGACGTCTGCACCGTTTTCGGGGATAGCACCACACCAATATAATCCTCCTGGCATTTACGCTCCAATTTAACTTGCCTAAAACGGCGGCGTATTGTTTCCGTTTCATAATCATAATTGTAACCACCCAATGAAACCGGACCACTGATGGTACTGCAAATACTGCTTGAACGTAGAGTATTATTTCCACCACCTCCTCCCCCAACACCCAAACCTTCCGAAGATGCAAGCGATATAAGGGAATTTCTTTTTAACGTTCCCGATGCAATAGATTCTGTATCTCCCAGGCTGGAGATACCCAGACTATTGCTTAGACGGCTGGTATTATTACCACCATCACTATCATAACCCGATTCATTTGAACTTAGACAACTACTTAATCTTTGGTAAAGTGGTTCCCAGTCCTTGGAAGTAATGCTGTTGTTGCGTGAAACATCACCACTGCCATTGCTGCCGATGGTGGAATTCTGTGAACTACCACTGCCCTGCAGAACCGGTGAACAATTGCTAATTGCACTATCATCGGAGGAATAACGCTTACTTAGCGAATCATTGCGATAAATTGTGATTTTGGCAGCACCATGATTTGGCGTGGAACTAGCAACGGAGATGGTATCGATCATTTGTGAGAATTCAGTTTCGGTGGCGGGTAAAATTGTGGAATTACGATGTTTAGGCAGAGGTGAGGAGCTGGAGGATGGATGGACTTGTAAAAATTGTTGATGAGAAGATTGTCCTCCTTGTGTCAATTCGCCCAACTGGTGCAAACTTGATAGGGAGGGTTGCTTCAGAACTGAACCATTATTTTCCTCCGGCAGCACGGAGAGACGTGAGCGCAGGAAAGCATATGGGAATGCACCACGTCTTTGATTGGCATCTGAGGGATTTTGTGGAGATGTGGCCGAGCTGGCATCATTCGAACTTGAAGGTGAAGTGATTAGTTGGCCCACTTTGGCAATATCATCGCAACTGCTGGATTTAATACCCGACCCAGCCATGCTACCATTGCCAGTGGCCTGTTTACCTCCACCACCAAGGTTATTTGGTAGACCACTCATCGATTGTCGCTTCTGGCCATTTGCCAAATTCAGACCATCACTGGGATCATCACATTTCACATAGGAACAGGAGTTCAATTGACTTGTTGAACTACTGCGATATAACGAAGTACTGGAACTGTGATGATTTGGTTCAGCTGCCTTAATGAGATTATGCGATTTGTGATTCAACATACCCGTTGAACCGATGCGATGGAAAAAGTTCTTTATAGCTTTTTGTGGCCTAGCTTGGCTGCTGTGTGTGGGTGTGCTTGATGCCGATTGTGTAGATTCATTTTCACAAGCTTTCAAGGGCTTGATACTTTGGTTTCTTTGTTGTTGTTGGTGGTTCTGATGCTGCTGTTGTTCTTGCTTTTTAATGGTTTCAATCGGACCCGATTTACATTTCTTCAAAGTGCTAACTTGATACGGGTCTTTAGTTTGAGATGTTGCAGAATTGTTGCTGCTGTTATTCGTATTTGCAGTATGTACGGGGGAATTGAAGAGACTTCGAATATCGGTGTGAGATTTATGGGTATTTGCATCATTTCGTTTTAGGATATCCAATTTTCGACTCATCCGCTTGCCCCAGGTGAAGACTGTAAAAGAGACAATTGTAGAAAAATTTAATATTGGATATAGAGTTAGGTGGCGATTTCAAACAACATTTTATAAAAATGATCATCAGAGGTACATTTAATTCGGGGGACTATTTCAGAAAATTCCAAATAAATATAAAGAATATAAACATACAATGTGATCTTTTAGATCATATCCCATTCATTCGATCTCCTTCATTTTCATGTTTCACAAAGTAACCCAAAATATCTAAATGTATCAGAAGTTATCATTTATGATCTTATTATTAAAATGTAATCACTCCGCCGTGAATGATCAGCTGATTGAAAGCTATTTGCAATAACCCAATCATTACAATGCCATAACAAACAAATTAATTTTTGTTCTCAATAAATTAACACAATATAAGATTAAGAAACCAATTTCTAACAAGAAGTAATTTCATAAATTATAAAAGTATAATTGCAGAGTATGTGTTCTACACGGATAATCATATTACACTAATAAATTGTGACGCCTTAAAACACAACCTCGAGATAATAAACAATACAAAACTCAATTGGAAAGGATTGGCGCGCGAGAGAGAGAAAAACCTTTCTAACCACAAGTCGGAAGCAAAGTCATTTATAGGTTTTCCAAAGGCGTTGCCAATAAGCTTAACTATCAACACCAATCAATATTGAATTAGCACATGAGATGCCATAGAGAAACTCTTTTGGGCCAGCTAGGCAACCAAAGTCAACCAGCCAGCCAGTCAAACACCGCGGAACCAACCACAAGCATAACAAGCATGTCCTCTCGTCTTACCATGTCCATTGTCGTCGTCAAAACTTCGATGATCAATGCCAATGGCAAAATAATAATCAACATGAACACGTGCCGCCTTAGGGTAACTTTTCAACACAAATCTCCAAAGACTTTCTTTAGAGGAACAAACAATTCGATAACCCAGACTTCCTTACATGCCGCCGTTTGTAGACAGACAGGCAAACAAATACATATATTTTTTTCAGGAAGCATGGTAAGTGGGTTCCACAAATGTTAGACAATGAAAGACATTTGTTGTTTTTTGATTTTTTTTCCTCTGCTGCAATAGAATTGAAGCCGTCTGTGGTTTGGGCATTCAAGACAAATGCAAATAGTTCAAACATTTGACACTTCAAGTTATAGAACACGACACTGGAGGGGGGGACAGTAAGTAGTAGTATGTGGTGCTGATGATGATGGTGTTCGCTTAAGATACGAGTTAAGAGATGTTTTTACATGAAAGGAGACATGATGTAAAAAGTTGCCATAACTTTTCCCGGTGAACGGTATTGTGTATTGAGCGCAGCATACATGTGTTCAAAGATATTGCAAATGAAATTTACACAATAGACTGAATAGAGTTGATACTTTGCTGATTGCTTTTCTCGTCTTTTGTTTGTGTGCGCCTCAAGAGTGAAACATATATTTTTGTTGTTGTTGTTATTTTTGACAAGGTTTATGGATGGCATGTCTTGGAGCTCATAAAATTGCAATTAAAATGGATATCACTTAAAGGTACAATTCCTCCACTCGAAATTCCATTGTTTGGGGTTTTTTTTTCTAAAGGCCTAGAATTGAACAAAAAGAGAAAATGGAAAAAATTTCAAAATCAATGACAGAAGTATTGGGTCGTTGTGAGGCCAGGAATGTTTTCTTTCAAATAAGTTACAGGAAATAGTTAAAGCTTTTGGAAAAACGGTATAAAAGTAGTAAGAGCGGGATTCTTTTACTCTATAAATAGGCCTAGAATTGAACAAAAAGAGAAAATGGAAAGAATTTCAAAATCAATGACAGAAGTATTGGGTCATTGTGAGGCCAGGAATGTTTTCTTTCAAATAATTTACAGGAAATAGTTAAAGCTTTTGGAAAAACGGTATAAAAGTAGTAAGAGCGGGATTCTTTTACTCTATAAATAGCTTTTCAGTCCTATAGGCTCAACTATTTTCCGATTATCGCTATAAGAAAGTTACATTCCATGAAATTATTGATTATAGCTATCAGAGAAGCCATTAGAGCAGACTACCGCCATTTGAGGACCTTCATATTCAGAGAAACTATCATATTTTCTAAATGGACTTTTTTTAATCAATTTGGATTGAAAAAGAAAATAGTATAAAGAAATGTCGAGGAGGTTGATCTGATATTAAAAGGAAAATAGTATAAAGAAATGTCGAGGATTTTGATCTGTTATGGTTATGGTTATAGAAAAATAAATTTAAATATAATTAGCCGCAATTCTATTATAATTATTAAGAATTAATTAGTTTTTGTTCTCAATAAATATAAAATCTAAATACATAGATTGTGGACATGAGACTTACGAATATTCTACTAAAATTATTTTTGAAAATTTATTAAAAAAAGCCTCCATATTGTATTTTGTAGACAACTTTTAGTTAGGTTAGGATAATGGTTACCTATATATTTATCCAAGGATTAACCTATGCATGAGGCGTATGATCAGGATTCTCTTCTCGAAGGGTTTTAATAAAGCTTTTGCGGGAGGTGTTTTCTATAAGTTAGAGAGCTCCCCGTTATAATAAAACAATTGTTCCAGCATTCTATTCTCCAAATTTGGCTGGCTGAAAATTCCCATCCCATTTGCCATCATCCCCATTATATTGAAATTATTTTGTGTACATTCCTTTTAGTGTATATTAAAGCTCATAAAGACGCACTTCTCTTTGCCTAAGGACGTCGATCAGTTTCAACTAATTTGAAAAAAAAATCCAAAAGATATTAGCCCATTTTTCAATATCATTATTATCAACTGAGCTATCCTGTAATTTCAAGGCCATTAAGAATATTTCATCATTCTGCAATTGATTAACCATTATTTTACAATTACATTTTTTTGGATATCATTCGTTGAGTCGTGATTTTATTTTTGCTCGGATTATCTTCAGTTTTGTCTTCGATTATTTTTGTCTTTGCTTGGTTTGTATCATTCGCCCTATTATTGGATATCGCGAAGAACATAAAAATAATATATCACGTACGCACAATTTTCAGTTCATTTGCGAAAAATCCAAAGTAATTTAGTAAAACAATCAAGATTCTCAGCCTAAATTTGGTTCACATAACATATAATTTGTTATGGGAAGTAATGGAATATTTTGGATAATATAAAAATATTTGGTAAAAAAAAGATTCGGGAATAAATCAAGATTTGGAATAAGACATTGATTGAAATGCTTTAGTATCAAGAAATAATTTGGCTCAAATTGTTATATTTTAATTGAATTTTTATTTTTAATTTCAGGATAGTTATTATAAACCAGCGGTATATACTTAAAATAATCAATTTTTGTTCTCAATAAAAAATAATTAAATTGTTAATATAAAGTACCAAAATTGTGAAATAACTGCAAGGCCTAAATACTCTCGTTCTAAATTTGACTTACATAACGCATAAAGGGCTAAGCAGAATGCTCGCGTTGAGCCATCCGTTGCGTTATGTGTTATCGAAAATACAACAACCACAAGGAAACGATAACACAAACGCTCGAAGTTGATGTGCGCTGCGCTTCAGAGTTAAATATATTTTAACTTTTTGCGTGCGTTAACGCGATAACAAAAAACGCTCAACGCGAATATTCTGTTTACCTCTTAAATTGTTATGGGATAGGAATACTTCGGTTATACACAATTATTGATTTAATACCTCCAAATTCTATTTCTATTTTCGATATATTAAATTAAAATTATTAATTCCTGGATCGGACAAAGGTTGATTGGAGAATATATAAAAGCGGCAGTACTGAGTTTCAGCTTTATAAATAATCAATTTCTGTTCTCAATAAATAATAAAAAATTTAATGAAAATCATCACATTCCATATATATCTTTTTTTAGAATAAACAAAAACAGCATCCTCGGGATACCTATTGTGCGGATCAGATATGTGTTTTAAAAGCAATGATAGATTTGACCATCAAACGAAATGATAAACTAATCAATTTTGGTTCTCAATAAATAATTAAATGTTTTTTAGTATGATATTTTATATAAGAGCAGTTTCTCCTCGCCCTCTTTATTGCAAACTATATAATGTCAATATAATCCACATAATTGCAAAGTAATCGGCAAAAATAGGAAGTTTTGCCATGTCATATTTTTCATTTGCCACAGCTACATGTATCCAATTACAATTCAACAACCAACAACTCCAATAATAATTTACAGTATTTAACACATTTACATGACATATTTTCAGCATTGAATGGTGGGTGACAAAACGCAAGAAAAGAAATCATATAAAAAGAAAGAAAACACAAACAAAACGTAATACGGTAGTTGTTTGGGGAGTTATGTTATGTTGTCTGCGGAATAAATGGGTTAATAATGGATTTTATGAAAAAAAAACGTGTACGTACAATAACCGCAAGTATTGTTGAAATATTAGAAATCTTACTACTAGACAGTTATAACATAATGTTGATTGCCAATTCAATGGATAGACACAATTGAAGTAATATTCAATCCATCAGTAACAACAAAAGTTCATTGTTCTGGTTAAAAAAAACCTATAGCGTTTCTATATTCAATACATCAATATAACTGTCAAAATCAAACTGTCATTGATTGGTATTGGGACTTCAAACAAATGTATTTTATTATATGAAACGCAATTTTATATAACATAATAATTACATAAAATTCCAATTACAATATCAAATGTTCTATAATCGTTTTTTTTTTGTATTTAGCTTCAAAAGAATTATAGTTATTTTTCCACCTGTCATTAAATGTCAATCAACGACATTCCTAAATTTGAACTGCTGTAGACAGTTTGGCCAAATTGATTGAAGCCATCAGCCATCGAATGGTATTATTTGAAACGGAAATAATTTGTTGAAATATTACCAAATAAATAGAAAAAATGCCAATGTTCGAAATGTGTTGGGGCGAAATAAAAAATATTTTAATTATTATGTAATAATTTGAATAATATAATAATAAATAATATATATTTTATAACCTTGATGGGATA